TTTAACATTTTTAATAATTAAATTTATTTAATTTAATTATTTATTATTTAATTATTTAATTTATTATATTCTTATTAAACAAATTTGAAATTATATAACTTTTAAATATAATATATAATTTTGACATATGATTTCTATATGTAATTTATACTTATATATGTAATTATATATATAATTTATTATTAATTATTATTATAACTTTATAATTTATTATAATTCTTATAATTTCTTGTAATTTCTTAAAATTTATCTGAATTTATTATAATTAATTAGAATTTACTATAAATTATTTAATTTTATCTTTATTATCCTTTATTATTCATTATTATTTATATTTAATTATTATTAATTATAATTAATTGTAATTAATTATACTTAACTGTAATTAACTATAATTAACTGTTCAATAATTTTGTACCAAAAAATATATAAATATAGTTAATTTTGTAACTATAAAAAGTTAAGTTATAATCAATTAGATCCAATTAAAGATGATATCTCAATTAATTATGACTTGTAATATCTAATTAAAGAATTATAATTTAATTGTGATTAATTACAATAGTCAATTAGAGAATTGTAACTAATTGTAATCTTATTTTTGGATTCAACACAATAAAGTTATAATAATTAATCCAATTAATAACTTAAATAAAATACTTGAATAATACTATACTTGAATAATATTATTACACTTTGCATTTATTAAATACAACAAAATTATTTTATATATATTAATACTGTCTTGATAATATTGCATACACATGTATTATATTTTGATTTATAATTTTTATATTATTAAGAATATAAAGTACACTTAGAATATAATTTACACTAAAAGATTCATATTATCTTTTAGTAATAATAATAAAATAATGCATATTTGTTAGCAAACAAATTCATGTTATAACTGAGTTTAGCTATCTTGGCATAATATTATTCATATTAATTTAGTACTAAATTTTCTAAAAACTTATTCATACCATCAATAATAGTTAATTATTGGATAACAATCAATTATAAAAATTTTTTAATGATAATAAAAGAGTAATATTTTGAAAATAATGATAAATACATAAAATATATAACCTAAATTAATTTTGCAATAATATTTATATTTCTAAATAATATATAAATTTATGAATATTATTGTTATTTATAGTTTAGTATAATAAATATTGCAAATTTTCATTGTAATTCATTTTTTATCATTTATAATAATTCAGACTAATGCTAAATTAGCTCAAATTATCATAATATAAATTATAAAATTGTTTTGTATCATTACACGTGATTAAATATCATTATTTTATTGGTCGATTACAAAAATGCGCATTATAAAGCAGAATTACACGTGATTAAATTACCATTATTGGTTGATTTAAAAAACGTGATCCAATACCATAACGGTAATTAGTCTTTTTATTAATATTACCTTAACAAGATTTCGGAGTGATATGCAGCTTTTGGAAGCTGATTAATTTATTTACTTCTCTTTTAGTCTAGACATTCGACAAAGCTGTCGTAAAATATGGCGATTGTGCTACCAAAATTGCCAAGTGCGCCAAAAATTTTTTGTTCGTTTGGTTTGCCAACAATTATTAAAATGTCATGAAACTTTGAATTTCCATAGTTTAACAAGATGATTGTTATGAGATTGCAATAATTTCTCTTTAGCACCAGACATTTTTAGCGTTTAGTTTGAGTCGTACCCTAGCCATGGTGAAAAAAAGTTCAGATCATGTGATATTTGGGTATATCCAGGCTGATCAAAATTTACGCATTTTATTGGTTTGTGTCACCAGCAGATCAAAAAATTCACGCATTCTTATTGGTTACCACGTGCTCTGAACAGTTTTTTAGGGTACTCTAGTTTGAGTGACTTACGTTATAACGATAACGAAATCTACTAAAAGATGAAGATCAAATCCTATTTAACGAGCGAAAGTTAAAGGAATGCAAATAATCATTTTGGCATCAGAATATTGCGCGTTGATCCGATCGCCTAAAATGACTGCGAAATTGTAAAAAGATCCCCGGGTACTTACATAGAGGTTACACATGTAATTCAGTAGGGGGGTACTTTACAAAAAACAATCCTTTACGTCGGGGGAGGGGTACTTTAAAAGACGTTTTACGGTAACAGCCAGATCCGTGAGGCAACTTTGGAAGCTTATATCTTGCCAGCCTGTTGTCAGATTTCCACGAACTTGGGCTCATTATAATCGAGACGAGCATTTTGGTATCCAGATCAGATACGAAGTATTGTGGTGCTTTCACCATCAAAATTGGGTCGATATTAGCGGAAATATCAATATCCAAAGTTGAAGCAAAAAACGACCGGATTTATAGAGCATCGTTGATCGTCTATAGCTCTGGAATCTCGCATAATTCTAACGAAGTTTCACTGAATTTGTGATGTTTTCCATATCTTAAAGTGCTAGAGAGGAAACTTTAACGGCTCTCATTATTTTTCTAATAGATAATTGTTCAGTTCATTGATTCTGTGTGAAAGAGATGGAAGAGAAGGCAAAACAACAAACCTGCTTTCCAATTTTTTTTCACCTTATGGATGATTATTTGCAAGGTATTTGGTTGTTCAGACTTGTTCTCTAATACTCTAATCTCCTCTTTTGTGAGAGACCGGAAATGGTGGTCATTGATAACCTTTTCAAAGGTGATGCCACAGGCTGATTGATAATCAGTTAGCTGAATAGTCTATGGCGAACGTTAATAATGAATAAATAATTACTCATATCGAGCGAATGCAGTGATGATTCTATGGTCTCCTCGTCTTTGGCCCAGGAGTTAGGTGTCTGCAAGGTTTATTTAGTATCTGATGTTGTTGCTAATAGAGGAGAGATGAAAGCTGAAACTACAATCAACGAACTGGAGGAAGTATTCTTTTTCAAGTCCGCCCCCACTGATCTTTCCAGGTGGCTAGAAAAGTTTATTTTAGCATTTGAAACTAATAGAGATGAAAAAGCTGAAACACACAAGTCTCATAAGTCCAGGCTCCTCCTCTTGCAGGTTCTTGTTCTTAGAAGTGGCTGCACAAAGTTCATTTAGCATCTGAAGCTTCTACTAATAGATGTTGAAAACGCATACAAATCTCGGTTCTCTTTACCCTGAGGTTTTTTTTTGAAGATTGTTCTTGCTACCTGTGGCTATAAAGTTCATTAGTATTTGAAGTTATCACTGATAAAATGTACAAGGATATACAAGTGGCAGTTGTCTCTGACGTCAGAGTATTCGAAAGACAGATGTGCTTGATTTTTTTTTTACGATCAATTGGCGCGTTATGCATAAATAATAGAATCACATGTTTCAGATAAAATTTTTATTGATTCACAGTCACGCTCTTTATAGTAGACCTCATACGTATATAGTGGAGATTAATAGTGGATTAATATTGAAATGAGCTATAATTCCCTATTTTGTTGATAGGTAAAGGAATGGGTATGTTTTTATAGGTCTTTTATATTTAATAGCAAGGTTCCTCCAATTAACAAAATTTTTAGCAACGCTTGGTTTAAGATACCTGGGGTATTCATGGCAGTGCTCCATACTAATAGATTTTTTGACACACTATAAGTAAGTTACTTTGTGATCGACTGCAATTTTTTCGCCACCATCGGCACTTAATGCATTTTCGTATTATTCTTATATGCACCCATATTCAAAAGAATAAGCTCGAAATGGTCTTGTACTACCTACTGCAAGTAAGGCGACTCGCTAAATCTATCATCCAGACGAATATACTTCATCGATTGCTCATTTATAATTCGGTCAATCAACGGATCAAAATTTAAAGTGATTATCCCATTAATCGATATGCCTTCGAAATCTTCTTTAATGCCAGCGAAGCCAAATTTAACGTGAAATAACGCAAAAAATATTTTTTGGTACAACACTTTTAAATTCTTATCATTGACGTACGATGCACCAGAGCAGTCGTTTCACCTATCTATTTATATGGACATGAGTGGAAACCCGGAACAACGACTTTCACATAGGCTCATGCCATTCCTCGAGTTTGAACTATTTAAACAGGAACAAAGATATTACTGACGACCGATATATATTTTTTGCTGGAATGGGGATTTCGAGAATACTCCAATTTAGTGTACTTATTTAGAAATTATCATGTTGAGCTGCTGATAAGAATACTCCGTTAAAAATTTCTTTTAAGAGCGAGTATTCATTTATTAAAGTATTTCCAATTTGCTTTGTTTCATCACTATTTATATATAAATTCATTAGTGAGTTAAAATTCACGTCACACAAATATGTACCGATCGATAGGAATAATGGAGAAAAATAGCTATCCTCGATTAATTACAACAATGCACAGACAGCCGCACAGATTTCTCAGAACGATAACGGATAACAATAACGACAATAACGACAATAACGATAATCTTTCGGATAGACTAAGGAGAGAATTTTACCAAAACCTTTTTGTTATAATTATTGTTTGTCATACAAGTTTATACTGTCCGTCGAATCATTTCATTCACTCATTCATTTACGCCAATCGGATCTACTTGTGAATTTCGATGACGCAATACATACTTTGTTCTTGGTTATCAAGTGATTACGCAACACACTCTCATTTACACGCAGCAGTACAATGATTTAGTTATTATTATTACATGTCTTATTATTGTTATTAACATATTATTTATATTATTTACGCAAAAAAATAGTCCTCCTTTTTATTCTTCAACACGTATTTATTGATTAATTATTTTCATACTTTTGCTTTAGCACACACAACCACAGTTTTGATAGTGCTATTAAATTTCGATTTTTATCCCACCAACTAACTCTTTTATTATTACGATATAAAAAACATTCGAAATGGAAACCAACAACCAACTGCTCATTGGACTTAACCAACAAATCAAAGAATTACAAGAAGAAAATCGTCGACTACACACGCGAAGGTTTCCTTCCTCTTCCCAAAAAAATACCTTGAACTTTGATAGTAGCGAACAAGAAAAAAAGAATAAAATAGTACAAGACATTGCGATACTACAGAATTACCTTCATGTATTCGCATTTGTCAAGGGGCGAAATGTGATCGTCAATGAACGTGCTGCAAACAATTTGTTGCCGAAATATTTTACGTCTGTCACCACTTCTGGTGGCAAAGTTTCAAAAACTCATTTAGGTGCCGCTCTACAGCGTCATTTGATTGAATTGGTATTTCGTGTGTTGACGAACAAATCCGATATTCAGCAGGAGCAGCCTCAACAACCATACATTCTTGTGGACAACAAGGAAAACAATGAGATATTGAGTAACGAGTCAAAATTAGAACTAAAAATCTTGTCTGCCGCCGATAAATTATTGGACTTGATGTCGAATCTTCGGCCATCGAAAAACACCAATAACGAATTCATGCTAGCCCTATCGAACAAAATACGTTACGATCTCTTCTCATCAATCAATCTTTACAGTATCGAAAACTCCGAACGTCTCTACAAAGAAATTCAACAACTTGTCCTCAAAGAGATGAATAAATATCGTACAAGTCTGGCATTACTCGAGAAAATCAAGCAAGATTCCGAAAATCTTGCCATGAAAATGGTATCCCTATTTTATCAATTCAAGATTTTGGATATTAAAGAGGTGAAGTTCTTTGGTTCCGGCACGACTTTGGATCGTAAAACTATGGACGCTGGTTATTTTGATGATGATGAAGAATACGAATACCAGATCGACATTTGTTCTTTCCCGTTAATTACGATGATTGGACCTGACGGTGAAGAACAGATTGTTAGTAAAGCCAAAGTACTATTACGACCTAAAAATTCCTTGGCTTATGAGACTTTGAAAGATGTCGTCTTGCCATTGGCCGTTTCCGCTGAACAACCTTCTCCTGCCGACAATTCATTATTTTCACCAATTGACGGATATGATGTAGTGCAATCGATGACTTCTGGTTGCTGGCGTTCCGGTTCTTCAAATTGCGAACCAGAAAAAGCGCAACTTCGTAAGGAGAGAGATGAATTGAAGAAAACGTGTGAAATGTTATTAAATGGATTAGAATCTGAGAAAAAATCTCAAGAAAAACAACGAGACCAATTCTCAAAACAACAATCTGAACTAACACAGACATGCGAAAAACTCCAGTCGGAATTGAAAACCCTCAATTCGCAGTATATTAATCTCTCCGAAGAACGAAACGTACTAGAGGAACAAAATAAAGACGGTCTCATCACCCTTACTAAACTACAAACTGAAAACGAGCATCTCAAAAACGAATTGATCAACGAAACACGCGAACAGCAACGACGCGATGACCAACGTGACGAACAGCTGATGGAACTAGAGACAAAACTAGTTGAAATCAAACGGCAATCTGCTGCGCAAATCGAATTATACAAAGATCAGATTGAGGCGCAAAATGAGCAATTGACCAGCAATGTTGAACAGAAAGAAACTTTGATAAATGAGATACGGCAATTAAAGCAGGCAGCAGAATTGCATCGAAGCGAAGAACCATCCTCTTCTCCGGTTGATGATGAATTTGTGTTGGTGGATTGATTAATGGATATTCAACTTTATCATCACTGTCACTATATTTATTCATTTTTCTACTTATTATTCTTCTACCCTGAACAATTATAGAAAAACATGTAAAATAACACTGCTTTTGATAGATTGTATTAGCATTCGGGTTTCTTTTCAATCTTTTTGGTAGTGTACTTTCTCTTTTTTTGTATATTTATTTATAATATTTTTTTGATTTTATTTTTCTTGTACACAATTTTCACCAAAAAAACAAAAAAAATAATATAATTTTGAATTAGCGTTAGATCAAAGATCTACCACGAGATTTTTACATCAACACATTCGTTAATTTGCACACCCTATAGTAACATTCTACAATCACACTCTACAATCACACCCTTTCCACAATCACATCCTTTCCACAATCACATCCTCTATAATCACACCTTTTTCTATATGAAGCACACCCTCTACAATCACACCTTTTCTTATATGAAGTATAGGAAATTTTGACCTCTACAGTCAACTTCTTAAAGTCACACTTTTTTTCTGGATGATTATATGGAGGTACGACTGTCATGACCAGCATACGAGCATTCAATTCTTTTGATGGATCAACCAATTTAACATCAGTTTTTCAATACATCAACACCGTTAATGCCTTCAACTCTGTAATGGCCATCAAAATCCCTGGACACTTTCTCCCACCAACACCAAAAGGAACAAAAATCTTTCGTCGAATACTTGTCATTTTCCGACGAGAACGAGTTTTTTAGAAATTTTGAAGGATTGAATTCGGTTGGGTAGGAACAATCTTGTTGCGCATTTAGTCAGATGGTTGTTCCAGCCTTTTCATTTGTAAAGAACATTTTCGCATATGTTTATAATAAAGCATTCATTTTTTGAAAGAAATAGATATATTTACTTTTATTTTATATTGATTTATCTAATTAACGATTTTGGTATGAACGATACAGGTGGTATCAATCTTAGTGTTTCCTTTACTACATCTTCACATTATTGCATTTTTTTCTAAATCGGCATGTGAATGGACGATAAGTATCAATAGCGGACTTCTGTCAAGACAATAGATCAGGAAACCAAAAGTTCATAATCGAATGTTTGAAAACAAACCAATAAGGATGCGTAAATTTTTAATCAGCCCGGCAAAACAAATCCGAAGCGTAAACAATTTTAGACTAACTTAACGTTAACCCTAAGCTTAAAATCAACCTTTAACGTTAATTGTAATATCCATGTAGTCATGTTACAAAAGATGTAGTCATGTTACAAAAGTGTATGCGCGCATTTACTAATTTTCACCCGAAGTTGTGATTGGATACAAGTAATTTCCATCGCTGATTGGTTGATTGCACACCGGGTCTTCTAAATCAACCAATAAAGATGCATAAATTTTAAGCACTAATAAAAAATGTCGGAAAGACAATTTATATATATTCTTCATAACCCTAACCCTTAATTCTAATGCTAAAACTAATTTTTAATATTCTTAACCAATCAAAACTTTGGATGTATGTGTGTATATATGAAGTCTGTTTGTTATATCATCAATAATCACGTGATTTATAAATATAAACATTGGTGACAGTAGAGTTAAGTTCGTGCTCCCCCTTTCATTACCCATTAACGAGGCAACATTGAATAAAGACCTCTTGCGTAGCCAACTTGAAAGCTTGTTTGGTCAGATCAAATGGGTTTTCGACCAACAAAGGGCAAACAGAAGCGTCAACGTAGGAATAATAGTGGATGAGAATGTTTATGGGATGTGACCCGATGGCACGAAGTACCGAGCATTTGAATCTTCTGTAATTTATTATTTGTATTATATAACCCTTTTCATAAATAAAATAAGCTTGTACCACACGTGATTTTTGATTACTGATAACCCTCCGATCAGGTCTATGTACTACAAATATTGTGAACGATTTCGATTCCAATATATTGTCAAATAAATTTTACTCTTCAAGTCATAAAGAAATAATTTCGTGAACTTCAAACTTACCTTGGTCACCAAATTAATCACTTACCTTAATCACCAAATTATTGTGATTAGCTATACACATATATTGAGTATATTGATTCGTAAAAAATTATTTCAACATGTCAAACGTTTTCCACTCTCTCATCCGTAAAGGTATTGAGTCTTTTTTTCACCTCTATTTTAAGTTTTATGGCTGTTCTCACAACGTTTGTAATTACAGTGCAACAACCAAGCGTTGCAATACTTGCAAGAAAGTGCACCCCAGGTAGGTAGAAATTGCCTGAAAATTTTGGAACAAACTATCAAACCGATTTGTGATGGTATTCTCGTGTGTTTAGGTCAACTCCCCGCGTTTCTGCAGGACCCGCACATTGCTACGCTTGTACTTCGTGCGTCAAGGAAAGACATGCCACTAATCATCATTCAGTGGAATGACGCTGGATTCAATGATGTTCCCGCTGTCCCCAACTGCCGGAATGGGATCCCTGGTCAAACAAAGGAAGCTATCATTGCAAACATTGTGGCTGGTAATGCTACAAACTTTGATAACACGGTCTTTAGGTTTTCCAGTTGCACTGCCGTTGGCGCCTGGGAAAGTGCACTCCCTGCTTGGTTAGGAAATTTCATGTTTTGGATTTTTTGCATCATCTAACTCTTTCTTTGGTTTGCTAAGGACCCGGCAACAAGTTGGAGTGCCTGACATCTGCCACTCAGCAACTCGAGTCACCAGATATAGCCAAACAAGGCTCGAAATCGAAACGTTTTATTATGCCTTTAATACTCCGAGATAAAAATCACGTGAAATTCGTCGATGATTGAGAATCCAAAAAATCAGACCCATTAACTGGCAAAATTTCATATTAGATATGCTATCACAAAATGTATTATTCCTTGGTATATATGGGTTCTACAAGAAATAAATACTTACGTTTATGATCTCTTACAAGATGTTGAAATTTATTCTTATATTGGTATCACATATAGCTGGTTTCAAATCATTCATTGATTGTATTTGGAATACTATTATTCTATTGCTACCAGAATGTTATGATACTCAGTATTTTTGTTTTTTCTTTCATTGATTAATAAGTGTAATTGATTATTGGTCCACATCACAAAAATTTAGATGATCTTAATTTCAATGAATAACTAAGATATGATACAGTAATGATCATAAGTATCTGAATGTTCCTAACTTTTTATAGATCATGCGTATTATCCTAAAAATTTCTGAAAACAAGAATAACATAAATGCTGATTATCTACTTTTTTTAAAGTTGGTAGAACTTCTATATCTGGTGTTTTATGTTCATTAAAATTTTACATCACAAATTCCAAAATACATATTTCAATATCTAATAATCTAATTATTGATATCCAGTGATTGGATCTAAACAAAAATAATGCCATTTAATTTGTCTAGTTGAGATGAATCAAATGATAGTATTTTGTTCGAATCCAATTATTGAATGTCAAGATATTATGTTAAATTCATTTTTTTGATCTTAACAAAAATAAAATAATCATTTTAGAATATAAGATCTTGATATCTAGTGATTAGGTTTGAGTGAAAATACTATTATTTGACTTAATTAGTTAAGATGAATCAAATGATAATATTTGATCACTGAATGTCAAGATATTATATCCTAAAGAGATCATTTCATTTTTTGATAATTATTTTTTATTTGAAATTGATTATCAAAAAATGAAATAATCTCTTTAAATGTAATATCTTGATACTTAATGATCAAATTCAAATACAAATACTATCATTTAATTTATCTCAACTAATTAAGTTAAATGGTAGTATTTTCATTCAAATCCAATTACTAGATATTAAGATTTACATTTGAAGTGACTATTTTATTATATTTAAAGCATAAAAATTTATGAACATAAAACATCCTGATATAGAAATTATATTAACTTTAAAAGACATAAATGAATAATATTTTGTATTATTCTTTGTTTTTAGAAATTTTTAGAATAATATGCATAATTTATAAAAAGTTAGGAGTATTTAAATATTTATAATCACTATTGTATTTCCATACATTTTTATAAGAAAAAAATTTATCATACCTTCAACATATCTTTATTATATCTACATTATGCCTATATTATAATTTAATTATGAATTAATATACTAACAATACAGTCTAAAACTATGAATCTAAATATAAAAATATTTGTACATATCTCAGATTTGAATATCTTGAATTTGTTTATCTCAAATTGGATAATTTCAAATAGAAGTGTATCTATATATACTCCAATTCATTTTAATTAAATCAAATAATAATCAATAAGAATATATAAATTTTTGATTAACTCAGTAAAACAAAAAAAAATAAAAAATATAAGAATATAAAAAATATAAAAAACAAATATCTAAATCTAATCTAGAGTGCTAATAAAAAATGTTAAAAAAATAATTTTACATATAATCTTGTTCTCTGTCTCTAACTCTAATCTTAAAATTAACTTTAATATTAATCTTTATTACTATAAAATTTTCTGAAACACACTAATCATATTGGAATTTTATATATATTTGAGATTATATTGGAGTATTATTACCATAGTAACATAAATTTCAACATCTTGTAAGAGATCATAAACGTAAGTATTTATTTCTTGTAGAACCCATATATACCAAGGAATA